CTCAATTAGCAAATGTATAGAATCGCCGATGCGCTCGCACAGATAGATAATTCATTCAATCGCGATTGCACGGCTTTTGAAGTATATCCAGTAAAAGCCAACAACATTAAATTATCATTTTTTTTTTTTTTTACGTAAAGCAAGTAGTTTATTGTTATATTAAAATTTACATAAACTACACATCGTATCGAGGTTTTCTTTTTAATTTTGATTGAGTTGATCGGGACTAATCATAGGAAACTTTTCATAAAATCATTTACTTACACAAACGGGGTACTTAGCAAGCGTTTAATTATCCGATGGCAAACTACTCGACAATGAATTAGAGAACGCGCTGAGTAAAGGGGAAATTAAATTCAATGGCCTTTTAATCATCGACGTACGAATGAAACGCGTGAACGCAACACTGAATGGAGAGGATTAGGGGAATAGTCCTGAAGTGCTAATGTTCAATTAAGCTGACAAAAAAAATGAAACCAAATAGGGCGACTACTAAGCCGTTTCGTTTACACGCGTAGCTGTTTGATTCAAAAATATCGGTCGCGTCGGCTGAATGTGGGATTAATAATCTTTATACATTATAAATTATAGAACGATTGAATCGAATCGATTTTTTCCGCTGCATTTTGATGCACCTTGATCCATAGCCAGATAAAAATAAACGTCACTAAAATACCCAAATCAATCGACAGTACATAATTTGTGTGGACTCGATTGGATACTGAATTTTTTAGATTTTTTTTTTTCAGCTCATCGAAGGAAAATACATACACGTATATATATATATATATATATATATATCCTCAGTCTGCAGACAATCGTCATATCCTTACGGCGATCGACATGAAATTATTTGCCGATACTTTGATCGCGGACAATATAACTGTCGTGACCAACAAATCGATCGCTCGAAAATCATCACCATTACTATGCACTTGCAAGTTCGAACAAACTATACGGGGGATCAGGTATATACACGTATAAGGTTATAACTAGGCGTGGAAGAAGAGTCGCAATCAATCAAATTTGGTGCAACCGAGTGGATCTCCCAATGGCGAAATTTAATTAAACTTTTGCGTCTCCGTCTTCGTTTTCTAGGCATTGAATTTCCGATTTCTATGGACCACATCGTCCCTATCCCCCATTGATGCTATCGCATAGTCCCTCGGTTTCCAGTTTATCGCGAGCGGTCCGTCAAGGTATACACACCTACAGAGAGTACCCGCACCGAAAGTTAAAATGAATAAATCGCGAGAGAAAAGCTTTTCTCACTTTTATTCTGAATATATGTATTTTGTACCATCATGAATGGAGGCTTAAATGGACCAATCCTTGATAGAAGCAGTGGCCTGTGGTGGTATAAAAGAATCACCTTTCATAGCTCTTTTTCTTCAAACACATAAATAAGTAAACGGAGATACGAGTATTAACTTCTCGTAATTTCAAGGTGTTTTGTTTAAATATTACGTACGATTGACTAATTATTGTCAATAAGGGAACTTTAAAACAGACTCACACTTTTATACTTGGTTAACCAAACTGATTTATTTACTTATTTCAAACATCTATATCCTCTTGAAAAAAGTTCCAAAATTACTTGACTAGCTAATTCGAGCAGATAATCTATAAACATTTTTTTCGAACGGTAAATCGAAGGAAAATCGTGGATTTCCGGGCTAATGTGACCATATCTGGTAGAGTCGCATTAAAATTCACGAGTGGCGGGCAGCCGCACGTATGATATACGGCCGAGAGCCGATATGCCCTGCGACAATCACTTGCCTGTCGAATTTATCTCGCGCCGCGTTGCGTGACACCCCCTACTGCACACACACACACAGTCACACGTGATCGGCTGGTCTACTCCACTCGCGTCGCTTCGGGTGTAACTCTGCAGCGACAGCCGTACCATCAGCCACCGGCAGTGCGTTGCCTTCTCATTACGCCTTTCCTATATATGTGCGGCTGCTCGAACGCGTTAGCTCTTTCAAGACTATCGTTAATATTTTTATCATATTTTAATATTATACCACGTAATTTCATCCACTTTATGCATGTTAATCTTTTTTATGAAATTAAATTTCTTCACTCGTTGATATCTGTCATTGATAAAAGATTTAATTTTAGTCAAATGCTGCATTAGCAATCCTGGACCCACATTTCTTGCCTCATCAAATAAATTTCTTCAACTCGTCTCTAGTACTATATCTCTCCTGATTTCTTATACAAGTGTCCCATGACAAGACAAAGTGTCCCATTACACAGAAAAATATTGTTCATAAAATCGCATGTTTATCGTTTATAGACGATACTGTGAGTTGAATGAGATTCTTATTACGTACTTTGATGCGAAACACCTTGATTCCACGAACTGGGGATACCTATATTCCTACAAAACAAAGTGTTACGTAAAAATAATGTTTCGAAACGTGGTTTTTTGTCTTAGTTCTAAGAGCATCAGATGTTTCAAACTCAAGATCAATATTTGCTATTACAGCAACAAACAGTGTTACTCACTTGTCACTAAATTCGGGTAAGTATGTCAGCAGAAAAATAATTGTGCAAATTTCATATGGACATCATCTATAAAAGAGCCCAATTGAATCATCGCCGTCCAGCTGTAAGAAGCAATAGACGGAAAAATCCCTTTTCCGCGTAGCGGCAGCAAAAGCACTTGGCGCGTGTAACACGTACAGATTACGTTGCCTATGAAAGTATACATACATTCGAGCGGAAAATCGAAAATTTAGGGGAAAAAAATTGAGCGCCCGTGTGCACGTGACCAGACAAAGTGAATGAAAAATTGGGGATGAAAATGAAAAAAAAAAAAAAAAAAAAAAACGTAGGACAGAGATAGAGGATACATGGCAAAACTTGGCTCGTCGCTATCGGTATCTCTAGCATGAAATTCTCGGCCGAGGGGTCGTTCGCGATATTACACGGTTCAATTAAATTTCGGACATACGCGTCCACCTCTACATATACATATATATATCTCTATGCAGTTTTGATCTATAGATAGGCAAAGTTATTCTCGAGTTCCACAGGACGAGGGGAAGGGACGATCAAACTGCTGTGGTTTCCTTTAGTGGAAGGTGAACTATATACTATTCGCGTTAAGCCGCAGTGATTATATTATTATTATTATTATTATGCACCAGAACGGGAGAAGGATCGCGTACATTCCGATCGACGATCTATATATATATATGTGTACGTGCTATCATCTTGCTCAAATATCGAGTATCATCGTCACGTCCAACTGGATAGCGATGCATTAAGCTATTTTGATTTTTGTCACTCTTACACGCGATATGTAGACATGAATATAATATATTCCCTATATGAATAGCCAGTAGTTACGTATTACAGGAGACATTCAATCATTTGCTGTACGTGTATGTATATACTATTTGTGTAGATAGCTCTTGGGGGTTCATTTCCGCGAGCTGCTATGGAGGTGCATGAGGGGGATGAAGGGGCAAGCGGATACGACGATGGATGTGCTTCAAAAGTTGCAAACGCCATTCGTTACTTTTGCCGTGTGTGACTGCGGCAGAGGGAGAGAGACAAGGAAAGAGATGAGAGGAGACATGTACACGCGATCTGTCAACAGTAGAGAGAGATGAGTACCTATCCTTTTTATTCCACGGCAACGCATTACCTGCATGTATGCTGATCACGGAATCAAAAGCTACATACGGTAGTTAAATTTTTATACATATTTATGACATGTTACTTTTCGAATTTGCTTTTTTCAATCAAGTGCACCCTCTCGATGTCTCAGTAGTCAAGAATATGAATGGCTCTCGTAAGTAAATATGTATGTACATAACAATCATACGTTTTAAAATCTTAGCACGTGCAAATATACAAAAATAGCATCAACAAATGGTATTGGGTGTGGAAATTGAAAGTGCTCATCTTGAAAATACATATGATTCTCTGAAATGTCTAACTGTCATTGTTGTTGCTGTTGTTTCATCGTTGCGAGATCACATTTTGTATCGACCCACCCAAGGAAAAAGTAAATGACTTGCAAGTATTTGAATGAAGGAGCTCTTGTGTCAGCAACAATTTTATCAGATCCGTGTAACACAAACCACGAGTACCTGCAATGGTAGCCAGCTCGAATGAATAGAAAGTGGGTTGTCTTGGAGGGTGTCGTGAAGCGTAAGGGGATCAGATCGAAACTAGCTGCGCCCGTCTGTTTGTCTCCTCCCCCGCGACCGCCGCATCCACACAATACACGAGCCTCGGCTTTTGAAATTCCAAGTCGTCGGCATTCAATTACCACGTCGTCGTCGCGCCTCAATGTGTTGTTCACTTACACCCACCCAAGAACCGACTCCCACGCATATGCACGTGGAAGAATCTGGCGTATGCGTCTCCGTCACTGTCCACTGACGCCCGGCGCTCGCGTTCCTCTACTCCTACGTATTGATTTCGTATCAGTTTCGCCTATAGATAGCAAAGCAAAACTTGTGTGTATCGCTATTAAATACCATCGGAGTCACTGTCCCACGAGATAGGCGTGCACACCACACTGGACTGGTGCGGTGAAAGAAAAAAAAAAAAAGACGAGTCTCGGGGGACCCGCCGGCCGTGGAAGCACATACGTTGGGACGTAATTAAAGAACGTCAGGGAGAGTTTGCGTTTGGTGTATTATCTGCTCCGGTTACTGGCCGCGTGAGATGAGGCATCTTTTTCTTTGACCCGCAGGAGATGAGCTCGTGGGAGGAGTTATGGGAAACGTCGGCTTGTCTTGTGGGGCTTATATTTATTACTGTAATTAAGATTAAGCGAAGAGTAGGAGATGGTTTTTGGGGGAAAAAAATGATTGTCACCGAAATTGTTTGGTCGTCAACGTGCGATGAAATGAACGTAAGGAAGAGAAATTATATGGAAGAGGATCTTGGCAAGTGAGGAAAATGAAAGGCAAATAAATATAGACATTTATTTAATATTGACCATCAATTTTAATATTAATTTCAGCACGTGTATTTTTTAAAACTCTTTTAAAACTTATACAACTTTTCATATTTATTTTTTACATCTATAGCTGATTTTTGGCTTTCCGTTTGGGAATAGTTACATACGCACTCTCAGAAGTGCAGTGACTCTGTATAATAACTATGTGTGGTGGTCGGTCGATATCGTACGTTGACATAGTGACTATTTATGCAGGGGTTTGCCAAACGGCTTGTTTGGCGCTAACATTATTTTATACAATGTCCATAATTAACATCCATTTTTCTACATCGAATACAATTTACAAATGATATGTACATTACAAGCGGTACGCGTACCACTGTCCCATTCTTTATAAATAACTTTTTGGCTATTTATGGATTATTTGTAAGTGTAGTGGCAAAAAAGCTTTATTTTTACATTTCCTTTCGACATTGCATGAAATATAAAATGGATAAAATAGCAAAAATATTTTTGAAGGTTAATAAAAATTTGGCATAACATTTCGGATACAAGGATTATGTTGATGATACCATAATATGTCTATAATTACGTTAAAAAAGGTGTCTCTATAAAAATATTTTAAATAATGCATCATTAAGTCTTTTTTTATATGGGCTTTGAAGAGTCGACTAATATGGTACAAGTAATGATAGTAATTTAAATTTAATATTGCAGACATTCGTGTCAGAGTGTTTAGCAGGCATATCCGTAACGTAACATTTATCAAGTTTGAATAAACTATACTTAAAAAGTCGAATGATACAAAACTTTAAAAAAGTTTATTAAAGCTCACATTTTTACGAGGATGTATTTAACTCACTATCACAATGTTTAAACCGATTTCTCATTCAAACACAAAAACAGTGCAATATATCCCGGGCTAGTGGACGACGATGACGTAACATACCATTACCAGGAAGAGCAAACTCGTCCCTATTTTCGTACCAGCCGCAGTCAAGTGCTTGGCTGCTCTCTGGTTGCTGGTGCTCAGAGTTGCCGATTTCTCGGTGGTGTAGTCGCTTCGAGACTCGCCTACGACAGGAACGCCAGGAAGAGTCGCTCGACAAGTGAGGGTCAGGGTGCCGGCGTTGAAGTGGTGACGCTCGAGCCGCAGGGACACCGAGAGTCGGGAGGAAGTCGCCGCTTCGCCGATCGAGTGGAGGGTCCGTTCGCTGCGCGTCGATTTTTCGTTTATCTGGAAAAAAATACGGGATAGGTGTTTTTTTGAATGATGCAAACAGTATCGAGACAAAGTGTTGTGAAATGGGTCTATTGAAAATGTTTTCGCTGTACATTCGATGAGTATCATTTTATGAATAAGAAAATTAAAATTAACGGCTCAACGAGAGGCTTATTAAAATTTTGCTCCGCAGCTGCCTATTTTCGTTCCCCCAAACCCTTACCAAATCGGAGCTGGTACATTTTATCCGTGGAATGACCGATATGTGGAAGAAAAAGGCATCAGCGGCAGAATCTCGCATTTCAAAATTATCCTCAGCTGCTGATCGGCAAGTGCAGCTCTGCGCTACGCGACAACATGCACTGACCCTTTTGTCGTGCTACTCTGGGGTGCAGCAGCTCACATCAGCACCTTTGGCCTGCCAATTTTCTTCGTTTCCTCTCGACCCATACATAGCCAAATTATAGCCAAATGTGTGGACGCCACGGGGTGCTGCCGCTGTCCATCGCCCTAATTGGCTGCCGAAATTATTGCCGCGACTCACGCACTCACTTACGCGTCCGCGTCGGCTTTGCGGCCAAAATTACAACGAAAACGACTCTACGTGTATATATTGCTACTCTGTGGGTATAGCCGATCCTTTGGGTGCGGTGTGATGTCGGAAGCGATTGGGGTTTGCGGTAAAAAGTTGGGGTGGATTAAAGGGGTCGATGAAAAAGTGCGGGGGTGCGTGTCCTGGTGTAGTTGGGACATAACGTCGAGTTCGCTGAAAGATATTGGATACTGGACGTAGTGTGTTTTACTTGATTATAGTAATCGTCTACAAACTCTCATCCTCAACTTTTTTCTCTTTCATGCATGTAATCTGGTCGACATTTATTGCACGCGATGAGAAGTGATTTTACTTAGGATAGGATTTAGTAATCACTCGGTCCTTTTTCAACCAGACATTGAGCAAATCGTTTGTGCTTCGTCATTACATTGTACATCGTGCACCTGTACTCATGAGGTGTACGTGTTACCTTGCGCCCGTTGATGTAGAAGACGAGATCCGCCGGAGGCAGACTCGGGGCCGCGAGGCAGGAAGCGTCGAGCTGCTCCCCCACGTTGTAGTTGGGGGCGAGGCCGTCGATGACGGGGCTGCTCTTCGGCAAAATGGCCGTGGTGACGTTCGCGACCGCGTAGTCCGAGAAAAAGGGCTCCTCCGTGGCCACCTCGCACAGGTACGTGCCCTCGTAGGCTCGTTTGTCTGCCAACAGAAAAACACACGTGTGCTTACCGCTATCAGCGAGTCAATGAAAAAAAAAAAAAGTTTCATCAACTGGCAAAGCCAAAAAAATGGCCCAGCAAATGGAGGAAAAAAAAGGCACGTACTTTTGCGAAAGTCCCCGTTGCCGAGGAGCACGAGCTGCCGGCTGTTGCTCATCTCGGGACTGACCCTGACGTCGGGCTCGTCGGGCTGCTCGAAAAACTGGCCCCTCAAGTGGTCGAGGCTGGGCGAGTACTTGAACAACGCGTTGTCGTTCCTGTACCAGCTTATCGAGTACAGCTGCTGCCCGTGAAGGTCGTACTCGCAGCTCAGCGTGACCTTTTCCGCCCTTGGGTCCACTATGGCCGGCGCAACAAGTCTCCGCACTAGCCGCTTGCCCCCGGTGATGCTGCCGTGGCCTGCAAATACAGAAAACATTTTTTTCTTATTTAAATCCATCTCAAAATTAAATTCAGTCGAATTAGAAATGAAATTGTTACAAATGTCAAAAATCATCAAGACCCATTATATTTATAACAGACTTTCTATTCGTATGCTATGGATTGAAATTCTATCGGTTACGCAGCCATTAGAAGCAATTGAGGTAAACAATACTTGTACCGATATATAGTCACTTTGTGACACAAATTCGCGTTTGTGTGTCTGCTGCGACAGTTGGAATTATTTATTTATTTCACCGCGTGGGTGGCAATTGTTGATTGTTTAGCCCCAACTGTTGATTGGAAATACTCAATTAACTAACAGCAGTGCCTATGCATAATGTAATGGCAACAAAAATGCACCTGTTTTATTTAATAATCATCAGGTGGAAACGTAAACTCCAGAATCTCCCAATACAAATACATAAACGAGGAGTATTTATTGGATTTCCCCCTCCTCCTTTGCACCAATAAGTACCAGGACTGTGTTTCAATACATGCACCACTTGACTATTGCTTCGACAAATAAATGCAGAGGCTTCCACGTATTTACGTGTAGTTACTTTGTTATTTATGTTAGTGGCGTGGGATGGGGTTGGAAGGGCAAATTGCAGTAATGGCCGTGACTTTACATGACTCGTCCGATCCTCGAATTTTGCATCGTAATCGTCTATTGTGTGTTTGTATCATACATGTACATCCAATACGTTCATTCGCGGCAAATGGGGCGTAGGATTAATTTTTTTTTTTTTTTCCAAAGCAACGCATATTCCCATAATCCTTTAATCCGACATAAACCGCTAACGAGTAGTAAAGTCACGTACAACGCGTTGCGGCGACGGATCCTAATTTGGCGGAATGAGAAAAAGTAGTACAAAACAGTCACGACATGGATGGAGGGAAAAAAGGAGTCGAACGAAAAGAAGCCACTCCATAGACGAAGAAATGAGATTTGACGGAGATGCGTGTACGCGCCTCCAAAGCCTCATAGGACCCAATTGGAGCCAATTGTCCCACATTTGCTTGTTAGCTAACATCACATACATGTACATCGAATGAAATGCGTAGAAATGAGTGGCTTTATGTGTTTACAGCCTATGTAAGCGTTTCGGAGTGGAGCTGCAACGGCCACAATTTTTTTCTCCCTCCGTCTTTGCGAGGAATCCCAAAGGACCGTCTGATTGTTATTGTTATTAGTGCCGTTTCTACGCGAATAAGAGTGATCTAGAGACAAAAGTACAAACAGTGGCTGCGGCAAGAGAGATATTCTTGATTCGACGTCTTGACTCCACAGCTGCTTCGTTTGACCAATTCACATTAATTTAGCAAAGCTGTATACACCAGATATTTCTCGCGTGCAGAAATTGCGTAACTCCGAGAAAATAGTTCATGAATTTAGTGAATAGTACATAAAAATAGTACACAAGTAATAGAATAATAAAGAGACGCGAGGGATACAGAGTACAAGAACCGCAGTTTAATTAGCGGAAAAACAACTCAATGTACATTCGATAAGCAGCGAGTTTTGCAATGTGTTTGCCACGAGGTAATTGACAGTGTGAAATTTTTCGACTCGGCCAGTGAGGAGCCGAATAAACAAGTTATTTGCATGCGTACACGAGGCGATGAAACAATCGCTTCCATCGATTATATAAACATGCATTGTTCGATCGCTCATAATGTTTCGCCCCGTGTTTTGTTGCTGCTGTGGTGTATATTGTTTTACTTTTTCTCTTTTCTCGTTTGAGTGTAAATACACGGAATCATGGTATGTACACACGTCATGCTCTGATGTTTGCAAAAGTGACTATTTCCAAATTTCAAGTGAGGGGAACGTCCGTTTGTACACTTCATTTTGTTTATTCGGCGCATGATGTTAAAAACAGCTCACATGTAATTTCAGTCATAAGTAAGTGGACCTGCAAAAAAATCTCTACAATAGCACCGATGCTTGAGACTCTACCTCTTCAATGCATACTCATAAAATTTTGCCATCAGCCACAGCAGTGCGACCATGTGACAAACGTTTTAATCAAGAGAGCGGATAATATAAACTGGTTCGATTAAGCTTGCCAGTGGGAAGTAATTATTTTTGTCATTAATTGCATTTCATGCGAATCCGATGCTGCGGACAGAGTAAACTTCCCTCCGAAAAACCATTTAATTAAACCGATTAAATGTCCTCACTGGCCATTCAATTGCCTTTTTCTTCAGAAAAGACCTGCACCCTCTCCCGTTCCTATAAAAAAAATGTTCTTGTTCATGCTCAGACAGCTTTGAAAGAAAACTCCTGAGATTCGTACACGCAGCCAAGCGACGAGGGGGGCGATTTTTTTTTTTTTTTTTGAATGGAGCCAAACGGATTTCCTCGTTTAACTTTTTTACCCAACGGACCTCTCGCTGTCTTGATCATTTATGCCACACCTATATGTACATGTGGAGGCGTTTAGGGACGGAGAAGGAGAAGCCCAGAGCAGAGAGACATCGACTTCATGAGAGAAAGAGAAAGCGCTTTGCTCGAAAATTGCTCAATGTGCGTAGGTATAATATACGAGTTGTTAGAGCTACAGAATCGACAGAGGGTGACGTGCGGCAGCTCCGAGGCAAATTAATTAATCTGCTGGTTATTAAAGTAATTGCCAGCCTAATTGGCCCGTGCTTTTTCTTCCTTTCCCTTCCTGTACGCGCTTTTTACGAACCTCAAGAGACAGTTTGAGGAGAGACAAAGGCAAGGGGTTGATGGTCCCTCTGTTACCCCACTCGCGTCTGCTTTCCTCCATCTATGCGTACCATCGGGGCAAAGGGACGAGCCGAGGGAGGAGAGGAGGATGTGAAAGCAAGAGTCACAAGGTGGACCACCACTTAATTTATTGATGTGCCGGTCGGGGCGAAAGAGGAAGTGGAAAAAAGGATGTGTGGCAGGGGCATTGTGGTGCAGCGAACAACTGCTGCTTAAACGGGAGACAAAGGCTGTTCCGCGGCTATTTGATGCCTGAAAGTCGGGGATTATTTAAAAGTGGGAGGGGAAAGGGTCTGGGGATGTGAAGTATATATTATTGTGAGGCGCTGCTGAAGAGTCACGTGTGCGCGGGATGGATCCCATTGTTTCTCGCTCTTGTCCATGACACGTCAAACAATAAAATAAATATAGCAAATACCACTTGTGAGTTTTATATTTTTTTATCAACACGTCGGCGTCCGTCACTCTCTGTCCAGATAGGTCGATTATCAGAATTTTCAAGACCTGTTTGAATTTCACACGCAAAGGTTCTGTCTGTCACTTACCCATTCATCATAAGAATAATAAGAGTGTGACGGAGAGACAAATCTCCAATTAGCCAGAAGCCATATATTTTTCATGTATAAAAGTAAAAAAGAGCGAATCATATCACAGAGTGAAAATAATGTGAAACAAAATTTTAAAAAATATTGCAATGTGACGGAAAAAAATATAAGAAAAATATATGTTCAAAATATAAGTTAGGAGTCGAAAAAAGTCGAGAAAAGAGGCAAATGTACCTTCTAAAATGTGTGAAAACTTTGAATTAAAAAAAAAAATTTTTAAATATCACTTTATTAATTTATACAGGAACCATAGTTAGAAGGAAAAATCCAACCTCGTGTTGAAGAGCAAAACGTTAAGAGATTTCGTTTATTTTCCAATAACTGTTTCTTTCCCATCGGCCGTTTTGGCGGTATACGGAAGCGCTTACGAGGAAGGGAAAAGAAAGTTGGGTAACAGAGGTCCAGCGGCAATTAAATGAATATAGATATTCCCATGATTTATTCAGTAGCCACGACTGCGAAGTACGTAAGGGAGGACGAAGAGAAGCAGAGCCAGAGTAATCGATCGATCCAATATTGTGTTTTTCTTGCCTCGCGTGTATAATGTCATAGAGCTTGACTTTTGGAGACATCATTCATGTGTTCCATCCCAAGTTTATACAGTTTTGTTTGAATTTTTTTTATTCTCGTCGGATAAACACTACCCATAGTGTTGTATTTTATCTTTGCCATTGGAAAAAATGTTGTGTCACAATATTTGTATCGCAAATATTGTCCTAACCCGTACAATCAAAAATTACAAACTTCCCAGTATACAGTGACTCCGACCAACACTATGGACACGTAACAGCGGTGCATTGCTACCATCGAAATCCTCCCTCCATTTCCCTCCAAAAAATGTGACGTTATACTGAACAATGACAAGGAAAATCGTTATCGATATCTCGCGTGGTAGTGCAAAAATGTGTGCGAAAATTTACGAAAGCGTTTTATCCAGCGCTCGATTTTCCCTCGCGATAATCATTGTTGCGCACAAATAGCTACGCCCATTGAACGTATGAGGAGGAAGAGGAAAAAACTAATGGATAATGTTGGATTCAATAAAATCGGATCGCAAATCGATGTACGGACGGCAGAGGTAGTTAAATCGGAAAGGCATAACTCGGACACTGTAGCCGTGCCGTGAAATTGAATTACCTTCATTTCTCTATTTTTTTCCCATTACATCACGAGAGCGACTACACGCGTGTCCTTGGATTATAGATAATCGTTAGCTGTACTGTGCAGAGTACTCTTGAGATTTCTTTTGCTCTTTTTCAATCAACGTAGGGTCAAGAGAGTCCAGCCAGAGAGTGCGGTAATTAAGCTGATGTACAAACTCAAACCTCGAATGATTTACCATGATAAAAAAGTAACAAGTGTCAATAGGTAACAGTCATAAATTAATTCAAAACATATTAAGTAGAAACTCATTGTGCACTTGAGAAAGTATTAAGAGTACCATTCGAGGAAGTCTTCTGTCTTTATTCAAATACGCGACGTCAAATTAATTAATAGAAATCGGCCATTGGCTCAACGAAACATTTGAATTAAGATGGCCAATAAAATTATAATTTGACTGCAGTCGTCGTAATGTGGAGGGGCAGACCTTAAGTATGTTTAATGCTAAATGTCGTGCTTGGCCTCACCTCAAT